TTTTTTATGACTCGTGTGATACCGTTCATACAGACAAGTAGCCGTGTCGCGTGCCGCTCTTCACATTTCTTTTTGAAACATATAATAATCGCAAAAAGTGCTAGATATAATACGAAATGTTGTATTTTATGAATATTCACATAATACGGTTATTAGTATAATTAATTATTCATTAAATACAACGTTTCGTATTATATTAGACATTCTTCGCGAAAAAGATTTCAAAAAGTAATACGAAAGAAGCCGCACGCGAGACGGCTACATGTTTATACGAGCTTCGATAAGGGAATGACTGCGCGGTAATTAGGCGTAAACATGACGCGCCACTCCGTGCCACCCCGTGCCATCCCCACCTCAAGGTCACGCGCCAACCGTCTAACTATCGAAATATCAACGTTAACGTATATCACAAAATCAGTAAATTAATCTACTCGTTACGTTTTAATATTTTTCGATGAATATTACACAATGTTTTATTATACGATTTATGTTTTATTTCTTAAATTAGTTACGCACACAACTCATTTGTATCTTAGGCGGATATTCACAGTCAGAGTTTATATTCAAGAACGTCTTAAGTACAATTTTAAGAAGTTACGAGTCAGAAGGATCAAAGATTAGCGTCTTAAGACATTACTTAAGGCAGTCTTGAAATAAGAACGGACTATGAATACCGTCCTAGATATTTCTAATTTATATATATGTAAATGTATAATATGAATTCTATTTATACTCATTGTTATATTCAGTCCAAATTGTTTTATAATTTAAAAAATGTTTGCATTTATCTTTATTTAAAGAATGCGTAACTTATTATTAATCTTTATTTGAATGTAGATCATTAAAGAGAGTAATAAAAATTGAGATATAACTCTTAGTACACACCTTAGTTTTGAACAACATTACTATTTGAGCATCCTTACCTAATTAATCATCAATTCGCGTTCGTAAATATCTAATTTTCGTAGATTAATGCGCGACACCTGGAACGAGTCGTGTCATACGTCCATCTCCCTTCGAAGTCGCCGAACGAATGCCGAAGTGATGACGTAGTCGACCACCGGCACGCTTCCCCTCGCTTTTCCCCGGGCGCCGTTCAGATACCTAATTATTGCGTATAAAAAATACTCAACGGTTTATTCAATTATTCATATTTTACACGATTTTGACAAACGGGTATCGCCATACATTTCGCGTTTTGCTTTGTGGCATCTCTAGTACAATTCCGTATTATTTGCATGGTTCTTTTAAACAAATTAGTAATTATTCGCGTGAGATATTTTTAATATTCCAACATTATATCTCAATTTTCATAATTTTTTATAATGATTCAAACTTGAAGTAAAGGTTGATAAAATATTCTATATATGTTCTTTATATAAAGATATATGCAAATTTTCTTAATATCGTGAAACAATTTGTGCTAAGTACATACAGCTTTGGCTAAAAGTACTATATATCTTGTTAATTATTATTTAATTTTTTAGGTAGTATATTGATTTAAG